GTGACCACGAATTCGGTCATGGAGGCTGCGAGTTTTGATCTAAGACTTAGAATATAAGTGTTTCGGAGGCCGCGTCAGCCTTGGCTCCTTTGGTCAGCTCGACCAATAAGTCACCCGACCGGGTMTTCCTCATCGCGGTGACATGCGTGCCCAGCTCGTCAAAGTCGACGCCGATGGATCGGACGGCGCGCAGTGTATCGGCGTACGACAATTGATCGCTCACTTTGACCAGAACGGCGGCTGGTATGCAGGAGACCGCTGTTTGGGGTCGTTCTGAGCGCTAGCACGCTTCTTAACTTCTGTGAAGGGTAGCTCAGTTTCCGTCGATGATGTTGCTACGGGTGCCGGTTGTGGATCGGCCAAAGGATTGGCGGTTTGTTGAGGCGTTCTTATGTCAAGTTTGGGCTTGCCACACCGGCACACCRCTTCCTCGACTGCTTCTTCTTCGTGTTTGTAATTCCGTTGTCGGTATGCGTGGTTGCATCTACGGTCGGTGTCTTCTTGGTTTCAGAATTAAGTCTGTTCTTTTCATCGGACAGGTTAGGTTATCCATTACCATATCCATTAGGTGTAAATAATGAGTTTTTAAAAGGTAGCTTTGCCRCCACTGACGACGCCAGTCGTCACGTCGTCTGTCTGGATGAATTTCCACACTACTCAATAAGTGCTCGATGTTGCGCCTCCAACCACACACTCGAAGCGGACGCCCGAGCCCCTCAMCGCGTCCCGCAAAAAACATCTGAATGTGGAAACAAATTGTGCAGCAATGTTTTTAAGTCGTTGGAGCGCCGCCATGTTACTATTACTCAAGTTGCTGCCACCCAACATCAAACACGTAAAAACCGACGTGTCGTCCAAACCCCGCCGATGGACATGAACAGCCTGTACGTAGTTGCAATTTGGTAGTATGTGCTAAATCATATAATAACAATCATTATAAATCGATATTAAGTAATTTAAAAGAAAAAAAAATCCTTGATGAGGTTGACGGACTCCATCAGCCGTACCATATCCGTGGTCCAACACTCCAAACTGCTGCCTCTCGGCTCACCAGCACAGCCCTCACCGACGACTTCAGGCTGAATTCAATGGCAACATTGAACAATGACCACGYTTGCATGAAACGGGTCAATGTAACGGCCAATGAGGGTGAGGGAAGCGTCTTTGGATAGCTGCAATCGATGCAGCGCGACATCAAATCTAAAATTCAATAAAATAATGTACAATTACACTAAGGAAAATATAAAAGAAATACAGGAGTTAACACTTACAAATAACAGCCAAAAGTGCCGGCTTCGGTTGTCAACCGCTCCACCYCGAAAGCCAACTTCGGCCAGTCGGTGGGGTGGAGGTGCCACTTGGAAACAAATGGGTTGCCCGCACCCTTCC